TATTATTATTATTATTATTATTATTATTATTATTATTATTATCCACGGGAAGAAGACTTTTTTTTGTTTACCTTGTTAGCATGAGCATTCACTGCTATTTACTATTGAATTTGGGCCACAGTTAACGCACCATAACAACACACCATGCATTTTCGTTAAATGGTGTTTTATTTATCAGTGCTGACAACCCTGGTGGTAGAAGTGGTGCTAAGGTAGAGAAGGCTTTATTAGGCGTGATGAGAATATTGTCATCTTTTAATATGTTGTGGCATGAGATCTCGACACCCCCTTCTAGAGGGTGGTATCAGACCACCTACTGGTATCAGCATTGGTGCATCCCTAATTTAAATACCAATGTCATTATATTATGTTGTCCTCCCACATAGATAAACTTGTTGACCAAAGGCAGGTGCTTCATCCAAGGTTGTGAGGGCTTCAGCCAACCTTGATTGGTTTGACCCATTCAGATTAATTGAAAAAACAGGTTTAACTAGTGTTGCTGCTTATGTACACTAGAAATATTAGAATTTATTTCCTTCAATTTTGTTGCAGGAAGAGGAGCAATAGGAGATATGGGAGAGGTGAAGTTACAAGGTGCTCCAGTAGGTGACATCAGCAGCCCAGAGAGCATCAGTCAACCTGAAGAGTTGATGGGCCGAGGCAGCAGGTAGGATGCACGGAAGTGACAAGTTCCTTGTATTGTTTGATGGGCTTTCTTCGATATTCTTGCTGCTTTGCATTGGTTGTCATTTATAGTGGTAGCATTAATATTTGAGAAAAAAACACAGATATACCACCTACAAAGGACAGCATCCATAATGACCATAAAGTTCACTCAGCACTTCTTTTAACATAATAAAACTAAACTTTATACATTTCACAAATGGAGGATTGTTTTGTTGTGAGATTTACACAAAGTGCATAAATTGCATCTTGCACTGTGAGATAACTGGTTTCACTTTATAGCTTTTCTAGTCAAGGTATTAGTGTAACTGAAGCGGTGCGTTTGAATGTGTGGCAAGAGCAGCTTTTGATTCAAGTGGACAGATAAAAAGGCACAAGCAGTTATCGTAATGCTTAGTCTAGAGTTCCCACCATATCAATCATCTTTAACTTCCAATTTGAGGGTCTTGCCGGTTGCTTGTGGGCGACAGAAATATTTCTCTTAAGGTAATTAATCATGATCTGTCACCAGAAACATGGATGATTATTTAACAAAAAAAGATTTTCTTGTTTTTATAATAAAGAATACACTTATCACTTTATAACTACTATTGATACACAACGAGTGCAACCATTATCAGTATTGGAAACACTGATACTGTTCAAATTGCCATATTACAGTTTCCATGGCCAAGGTTTGTCCCCTCGTGTGATGGTGGGGCTTGGAAGAGCAGCAATGCCACAGCTTGGAGCAGGAAGTGGACGTGCTTTCCTTCCACATTTTCCTCCAGGTCATGACAAGTCTGTTTCTCCAGTCTCTGAACCACAAACAGCTCCACACTTCCAACTTCTCCACACAGGTAGGGGAACCTTTAAAATTGATTCTAAACATTCATGGGACATTGCAAAAGATATAATGTTTCTCACTGCTGAGTAAAGTGGATATTTTCAGTTGCTTCATAAATGTTAAAAATAGTTTACCTTTAAAAGTTTAGTGTAATGTGCCAAGCCAATTCAGTTTGTCCATTGCAGTACATTAACCTGATCTATAATATATCTGAAAATGCAAACAATTTGAAGGCACTGTCCCTCCTGTGGTCACCACTCATGACGTCATGGAGCTTTCTACTATTGCAAGACCAAAGATGGAGCTAAAAACAGAGGAAGTCCAGTGAGTATACGTTTCCTCTTTGCATTTACAATAAGCAAAATTTCACATTCTCAGTGTATTGTATGCACATGATCTACAGCTGGTGATTTGTACAGTATGTGCAGGTCATCTGTTAGGATGCCTTACATGACTATGGCCTTTATGTTTTATCAGTCAGCCCTGATCAGTGCTAGATATTAGCAGGTTGTGTTGGGAACACAATTCACTTAAGCTTAATGGGAATATATGACTCATCATGGAAGGTTGATACTGACTGTGTCTTGTGTTTCAATGTTTTTGTGCATGCATGTTATCCTCTGGTTAGTGAGCCACTTAATAAGGCTGGAACAACAGGAGCTCCTATAACTATTGGCTCAAACCACATCCCGATTGTCTGCAAGAACAAAGCTGTTTATCAGTACCATGTTACTTTCACGTGAGTATTATGTATCATTCAACTGTTTTTCCTCTATTCAGCAGCTATTTAACAACATACCTGGAGGCATAAAAAAATTGAACATGTCAGGTTTTAGCCACCTATTCTTATAATATGTATATAATCTAATGTTGAAATCAGTTTTCAACCATGATGGGAAGGAAAAAATTAATATGAAGAACTGAAACTAAACTTGGATTGAAGCACCACTGTTAATGAAATCCCACCAGCCACAGGGCCATAAACTAAAGCAGCCATTTGTTAAATCAGTACTGTCAGTCGATACTGGTAATTGGGACTGAAAACTGTATTCTTAGAGATCATGTGTATTTCCAATTATTATCTTTCAGTCCAAACGTTGAATCAATGGCGATGCGTTTTGGCATGATGAAAGATCACCGCACAACCACAGGGGAAGTAGTTGCTTTTGATGGCTCCATACTCTACCTGCCAGTTAAGCTGAATGACGTAAGTATCACACTTATTAGTTGTCTGACTAATTGACTATGATGTAGTAACAGCTGGAGTACAGTTTTTTGGTAGCATCTTAGCTTGGAAAGCAGCCACATGTATTGTCTTTTTTTTATTTTATTTTTTTTTATGAGGAAGGGTTTTAAATTGTGTGTAGAGGACCGATTTCCTGTGAAGGTCTAAGGCAGTGTTCACATTATAGTAGAAAAAAATTGGTCTTGTGCTGCTCATTCCCCGCTGGTCACCACAGAAACTCAAACAGTGCTTTCTTAGCTACAACGCTAATGTTGCTAGTAGTAGATCACTATATGTCAGAGGCTCAAACTTTTTTATTTAATGATCTTGGTAGCAGCACTTATGTACTGATATTTTGCTAGATAAAAAGGTTGTCTGTCTGATTGTGATATGAGTAATCACGTTATTGTATAGTTTGGGAATTTCAGAAACACAAGTAGGCTATCTAGTTTCATGTCATTTCAAACAATGGTCAACAGTGATTGGGTGCACGCACAAAGGTCAGCGCAACTGTGGACCATGGATGTTCATGCAGAGCCTTCACAGTGCACCACATGCGTGAAAACCGTTTTTCCACAATAATGTGAAGACACCATAAGATTGCTGAAAATAGTTTTCTGCTAGGTTGATTATAAAATTGTCATTGTGCAGAACAGTACAGTACAAAATCTGTCACAGTAGTGAACATGACACTGGATCTCATTTTGGTTTGGTCTTTTGTGTAATATTTTGATGACATGCAGGTGGTTCTCAAGAGTTTGAGACGAACTGATAATGAGGAAATTCAAATCAAAATCCAGATGACGAAGATTTTGCCACCAAATTCAGATCTATGTATCCCGTTCTACAATGTCGTCCTCAGAAGGTAGGAGATAATGGCCACCCAGCAAACTGTGAAGCTGCTGCACTTCATCACCTCATTTAAAGAGCTCATGACATGCTCATTTTGCTCATTTCCAGCCATTTAATGTTTAATCTTGGGTACCTCTAGATTAGCTTGGCACCCCTTATAACTCCAAATAGTTTATAATTATTTCAGAACGATAAAACCTGAGAGCATCTTCCTTAAAACAAGAGGATAGTTTATGAATGTGTATACCTCCTGCTGCCGGTGTTGTCACAAGTGGAGCACATCGAACTGCAACTGCATTAATTTCTGCAAATTTCCTTCCTGGTCATCGGCTAGTCACAGTACAGCAGCAGGAGATAAAACGTATCCACATAACCACATGCAGTCAAAAAACTCCACTTTTATAATGGAATCGGTGGATGTCAGGCAAGCTCACATGAACGTGCAATGGCTTGGAGATGATTCCCATTCCAGGATATTTAAACTAACACATAAGACTTTATTTTGTTTATCTTTGCCCTGCAAATGCATTTTTTGTGCATTCTCCCGTAACTCATCCATGATGAGAGCACGTTTCTGCGATTTGGCGTAGTTTTAGTGTCTTCACCCGACCCGCCTGCAGCATTTCAGAGTAGAGAATACTCCTTAATTTATCATGATTTTGAAAACTAATAATTATTTTACTCATTATACTATCATCTGTTACTATTAGGATGGTGACATGACAGACCATGACCTGATGTTCTTGTTTTTTCTAAGAGCAATGAAAATCATTGGTCTGAAGTTGGTGGGGCGAAATCATTATGATCCGGAAAACGCAGTCATTCTTGCCAAACATCGGTGAGTACTGAATTCTGTTTTAACATCCAAGGGCAGACACAAGCTGATATCATGGTAACACTAATCTATTCATCCTATTTGTCTGTTTTTATAGGCTTCAGATCTGGCCAGGCTATTCAACTGGCATTCAGTGTACAGATGGAGGCCTGTACCTGTGTGTGGATGTGTCTCACAAAGTCCTGCGGAATGACTCTGTGATGGATGTTATGTGCGTTCACAAGTTAGCACTAGGGATGGTTCATTTCATTAGCAGCATATTACTAGCATTGTCATATGTCCATACTGTGACTTTACCTGTAAGTCTCCAGTGTTCTGCGGTAGTGGAAAGCACATTCGCCAGGTTTCAGCAATACAGTATGCCACTCCAGCATTTTGTCATATTTACGTGTCAAGCTTTTTTAGTTGTTTTGCAAGCTTATATTTTCAGGAAAATCTGAGTAATTTTTCACGATATAAAATATTTGTTACATTGCACTTTTATTTATACATTCTCAGTTGTCAGTGCTACAGGGAAGGAATCACTTTTTCTTTCTTTATCTTTGTTCACACATCCTGATTCTGTAAAAGGGCTCCATAGTCCATTTTCACAGCAGACATTTTGACACGTTATAGCAGGAAAAAAACAGTATTACTGAATAACATTCATGTTTGCTGAATTCCAGTTATGTGAGCTATTTCCAGGGTCTTAGTATTGTGCATCCTTGCTGAGTGACATGGTTTAGTGAGATACTTAATGGAACTCGGCCATCACTGGAGTTGTTGACTACACCTGTGCTTTTCCCACTATGACAACAGTGTTTTTTATGAAAAAAGCCTATTGTGTGGCAAAAATTCTTTGCAGCTTGCTATTGATATTTTGAAGCTATAGATGCATCCATCTTAAATTGCTGACTGGACCATGGTAGAACTATGCCCAATCCATGACAGGTCTGCGCATAACCCTGCCCTTGCCTTGAATCCCCCACGATGATACGGTGATTGCAACACTGTTAACACCCCAAAGCACTGTGTGTGTCCGCCAGATGGAGCAGTGTTTGTTGTAGTTTACTGCAGAGGCTGACTGATCCTTCTGTTAATATCCAGAACTGCTGTTGGATGAATATAGCAGGACACCGGCTCGAGCTAAGGCGCTTGGTTGGCAGTGGCTGCCTACATATTAATCAGTGTCAGTGTCTCTTACAGTAATAGCTGCTATTTCATTACACTTACATGCTCAGACCTTATACACCTTTTGAGACATCAGGCCACTGGCAGTTATTGCATTATGTCTACATTTTTTTCCCATTATTAAATCAAGGTTATCAAATCTGTGCTATAGAAAGGAGTCTCAGGCTCTGCTTTCCTGAATAGTACCTCTTCTGTATTTCAGGGCCAGTCTTGGCCTACATTATAAATGCTGGTCTATTTTGTAGTGAACGTATTTGATTATTAGATGCAACATAATTCTTGAATGAAATAAATGCTGCATTTTCCTATACTACAGCAGCAGAAAAAGGTAGAGAAGGGAGTATGGCAGAAGCACAGTGGGCAGTGTTGTCACATCAGCATCTTGAGTTTGGTTTTGAATTCTGCTCTTTTTGAGTTGAACATGTCAACCAGCAATAGTGAACACTTCTGCTGTGTACGGGGCTCGCGACTGGTCAGCATGTGCCACAGTTTGACCATCCTGTACCTTGCTTGTGTCATATAGACCTATAGCTGATCATTCAGAGGTACACAGGCAAAAGTCTGTTTAAATCTCAGCATCACTTAAGTTAATTGTAAAGTCTGTTTCTGCTACTGATCATTGCATCTCATGTTTGTCTTCATGGCCCCTTCTGAAGCTTGCACTCTAGTTTGTCACTCAGAATGATCTGAGTGTCATTCTGTCATTTGCCTTTTGTAAACCAAGTCTGTAGTCAACACTGAACTGTGTTGTGAGCTATCCATGTCATCATATATACAGTATATGGTTGAATAAAACACACAAACACTTGTGGGTGCCAGTTGCAAATAACAAATAAAGCCAGAGCTTTTCTCTGATATGTACATATATATATTATGCTCCTGAGTCCATTGCTCAAAAAATAGCTAAAAAAATAGCTAATATCTGCTAGCCTAGCAACTGGTGCCCGATTTGCGAGTGTGCACCCTCTTCCCCTGTGCTGCGTCCATCCACTGCAGCCAGTGCAGCACATACTGCATCTGATAGCCCTTGGGGTGTATTTAGAGGAAAAGGTTAGGTGGGAGGGTAGCAACTTGACAGAGGCTGCAGGCTTATTGTATTTATAGATTATTTATAGACAATTTTTCTATAGTTTGCGTTCATGTTTAAAATTTATGACCTCTGACCTTTGGCCTTTGCTGTTTGTCAGGAATGTGCTTTACCAACAGAGCAAGCAGAACTTCCGAGACGAATGCTCCAAAGAACTGGTTGGAAGCATCATCATCACTCGATACAACAATCGCACCTACCGTATTGATGGTATTGAGTGGGAGAAGTCACCTAAAGACACTTTCACCTTGATGGGTGGCACAACAACCACCTTTGTGGAGTACTACAGGTACTACTGGAGTACTACTGCTCTGCCCATGAAGGCGTGAAAACTAAACAGAAAAATGTAGCATGTGTGTTGTGTGCGTTTGTGCACAGAAATTTTGGATGTTTATTTAATTCACAGCAACAATATTGTATTTGGCTTTGTGTGGTTTTAAATTGTGTTTTTTTTTTTTTTTTTTTTTTTTTTGCATTGAGCTGTTGGTCAGGCAAAACAAGCCATTTGATTTGTACCCTGGGAACTATAATGAGCCTTTTTTCACAACTATCTGACATTTTACACACAAAATAAATAATCGATTTGTTGAGAAAATAATTTGTACTAAACTTTGAAATTCAAACAACTGTTAGGAGATCTAGCTCTATGATGATTAAGAGCAGGAATATTAGTCATTATCAGAAAAGACCTTGAAAGAACTATGGGATTACATTAAAAGAGATGGACCAACCTCTGCTCATGCATCGGCCAAAGGAGAGGTCCAAGCCAGGAGGGAAGGTAACACCTCTCATCACCCTCAGTTATTTTACATAATAAAAAGATGTTCAAAGCAGACAGTCAGGTGTATGTTTTATTTATAGTAAAGTTCTTTATAGTTGATCAGTCAGCTGACATTCTTGTATTAAGAGTTCCACTGTGTGGCTACAGTGGTTCTTGCAGTCTGTACAGTTTTAAGACATGCCAAGACTAAAATGCACAAAATATGATTTCTTTACAAAAAGTGAATGTTTGTTATATGAGAAGAACTCTACATTTCCTTGAACATCCCACTCCACTGTCAGTAATACTTGTTCCACATATAAATAACTATAGATTATTAATGATTATTAATTTGACTGTAAATGTAGAATATTTTTTACCTATTTGCAGCAACTCATTACTGGTGAGATCTTTTTAGTCCCAGAGCTTTGCTTCATGACTGGAATCCCCGAGAAAATGAGAAAGGACTTCAGAATTATGAAGGTAAATTGATGAGTCAGCACCATGACTTTTATCTCATTAGTCTGGTCTTACAGCTTCAAAATTGAAGCAGAACACATACATTACATACATAAGAGTGTGACTGTACGGACTGCTATTCCACTGGTTCCATTGCCTTTAGGGCTGAATCTCCACTAGGCCTGAAGAATTAAGTCTTATCAAAATGACTGTTTTGAAGAGTGTAGGTTAATTAGAACTTTGACTATTAACAGTGACATCTCAAAAGTTTGAAAAGTGGTGAACATTTGACAGACACTTGTATAGACAGCTCTGAGGACAAGCAGAAACAGGTATGTTTTAGTGGCCAGAAAGACCAACAGGGTGATAATGGTTTCTTTTCTTAGCCTGTCTGATCATCATCTGGCAATTTTCAACTGATTTGTTGACATCTAGTAAAGTATAAATTAACTTTCTGTCAGCTTGGTGTGTCTCTGCCCTAAGACACGAGAATAAATGCAAAGTGTTAATGTATAAAAAAATACAGAATAAAACAATCTGTACTTTAAAAGATTCATATTGGGAAAAAATACAGTCATGGCCAAAAATAGTGACACCCTTGCATTTCTGTGAGATAACGCACCACTTGTCCCAGAAAATTGTTGTAATCACAAATTCTTTGGTATTCTCGTTCTTATTTCTTTTGTTTGCACTGGAACAGAAAACCCCACAAACCTGATCCATTCCACACAGAACTCCTAAAATGGACTGGACGGAATCATTGACACCCTCAACTTAATATATGGTAGCACACCCTCTGGACAAAATAAGTGAAATCAGTGTCTTCCTGTAACCATCACAGAGTTTCTTCCACCTGTCTACTGGAATTTTGGACCACTCTTCTTTTGCCAACTGCTCCAGGTCTCTCAATGTGAAGGGTTCTTTTTCCCAGCTGCTGTTTTGAGATCTCTCCACAGGTGCTATATGGGATTTAGATCTGGACTCATTGTTGGCTACTTCAGAACTCTCCAGCACATTGTCTGAAACCATTTCTGGGGTTTTTTAAAGTCTGCTTTGGGTCATTGTTCTGCTTCTGATGGAGACCCAGCTTTCTGACACTGGGCCCTACATTGCTCCCCAGAGTTCCTTGGTAATCATCATTTCATGATGCCATACACACAGTCAAGACATCCAGAGCCTGAAGCAGCAAAGTAATCCCAAAACATCAGTGAACCTCCACCGTGTTTGACTGTAGGGACCTTGTTCTTTTCTTTGAAGACTTCATTTTGTTTTCCAAAAACAGTAGAATGATGTGCTCGACCAAAAAGCTCTGTTTTAGTCTCATCTGTCCACAGGACATTCTCCCATAAGGACTGTGGCTTCCTCAGGTAAATTTTGACAAACTCCAATCTAGCTTTTTTGTCTTTGTGTGGGGGTCCCCTGGGTCTCCTACCATAGCGTCCCTTGTCATTCAGATGGCGACTGATAGTGCGAACTGACACTGTTGCACCCTGTGCCTGCAGGTCAGCTTGAATTTGTTTGGAAGTTGATCGAGGTTCTTTATCTACCATTTGAACAATCCTTTGTTGCAATTCCTCATGTATTTTTCTCCTTTGTTTACATCCAGGGAGATTAACATCACATGCTGAAAATACAACTATTTCTGGTGATTTTGAAAAGGTGTCAATAATTCTGTTGAGTCCATTTTTGGAATTCTGTGTGGAATGGATCAGATTTGGCTTTTTTCTCTGCTTTTTTGTGTTGTTCCAATGCATACAAAAGGAACAAACATGAGAATAGAATTTGTGATTGCAGCAATTTTCTGGGAGAAATAGTGTGTTATCTGACAGAAATGCAAGGGTGCTAATATTTTTGGCTATGACTGTATGTATATAAACTGGTTATTTTAACAAACCCGTGGAAACCCTGACAGCAAGTGTCTTTTTCACATTGTAGGACTTGACCATGCACATCAAAGTGAGCAGTGAGCAGCACACCCAGTCCATAAAACAGTTTCTGAAGAACATCAGCGCCAACCCTCAGAGTGTGAAGGAGCTCAGCCAATGGGGACTTGTGATTAACTTGGAAATCCTGATGGTGAGGCCCGGCTGTTAACATTGAGTTTGTCTGGCACCCTTTAGCTGAGTGGTTACAGTGTGGCACACCACGTATCCCGGACAGCACACTGTGCATGTGACGTTGGCATTTCAACTCCATCTGCCAACATTTGTCTTACCTCTCTCTCCCCCCATTTCCGGTCTGCTTCCCCGCAACCTACTATACAATAAAAGCTAAAAGCCTTAATAAAAGAAAAAACATTTTTGTCTAAATTCAAATTCAGTACTTCAAGAATGTATGACACTTTGATTCTGTGTTGTGGTTTTCTTGGAGGGCAGGTCATTCATTTAAAGTCTTTTGGGTGGATTTTGCACCCAATTCACCAATTCTGATGATTTGGATCCTGTACTGTGAGGGGCTTACAGACACAAACTTAAAGCTAAACTGGCTCAGTCTGTACCCAGTTTCAAATTGTAATTGTCAAACTTGTTTAAAACAATTTGATCCTCCTGTAGTGTGAAAGCAACAGTGAAGGAATGTTGTGTGGAAATCTGCAATAGTCAATGAGAGTGAGCTGATCGGGAAGTGTCAACCATAGCATAAGCTTGCAATAGCCTTGTTTGAGACTAACAATAAAATTTTATTTCTAACTCATGCCCAACTCACCCTGCAAAATATATATGCTGATGCTTTTTCCATTAGTCCACAAAATCACACACAGATATGCCACTAGCTGAAAATGGTCCACCACCATGCTTGTTTTGCTCTGAAGTCACATTTGATCTTGCACGTGTTTGAGAGATCCCAAGCCCCTGGAATTGCCACGCCGAGATCGTATAATATACATAGCAAGTATGTGGTCCTGGTTCTTGACTGAATTGTCTGGTGTGTAATTTAATCCTAAGGATTAAAATAGTAAAAATCAGTTAAATCTGTTATGACATTGTCTCCCATGTTAAGATTTGAAAATTCTCTAGTTTGTATCTAGCATAATACATCCAAATGTAAAAGAAGAGAGGGTCTTAGGATTTGACATCACTTTAAGTCGCGTATTTGAAAATGGTTATGAGTCGGGATCAGACAGACAGCCATTAAACTGGGAACTCAGTGAAGGCAGCTGTTGGGGAACAGTATTAACAATAAACATGTATTTATCAACTTTTTATATTTGTCAGATATTGAAATGCTGCTTGACTGTCCAGTAGGTGCGCAGTGGTGCAAGTAGGCAGGAAGAAATTAAACTCTAGTTTTGATGTGCATTCTTTTTTTTATTTTGTTGTTGCTTTTTGTTATGGGGTTCTTTGTGTTACGTCTGCTCTCATGGGGAGGTGAGAGAGATAGGAAAAAAGTTGGACTCAAAAGCAAACATTCAGATACTAGTAAGAAAACGAGAATGCTTTTAATAAACAAAAATCAAGTCTGTTAAGATTCACAATGGGATGTTTTATACAGTTTGTAGAATCTGGGAGGTGGATGCCACTGGGTAGAGGGAAATTGGTGGCCTGAGCACTTAAGACAGAGGGAGAATGAGTCACTGTATGGTCGGAAGCAACACGCACAGGCACTGGGTGAAGGGGTGGGGAAGAGCCCAGCTAAGAACGAATGACGACCAGGAGACTTGAGGCGGAGAACGAGCGAGTGGAGATGATGATGATGATGATAAGGGGAGTTGCTGGAGCTGAACTGCTGCGGCAATCACTGTAGAAAGTGGAGGGTGGAATGCTGACCGGCCCGGGAGAGGAAGAGCTGAGTTGAACCACAAGGGAACCACAGACGCCACAACAGGATACACTCAGGGTGAGTAGCTTGGTAGGTCAGCTCAGAGTGGGCACGCTGGGGAATAGTCCAACGCAGTCAGTGGATGAAAAAACAGTTCAGTTGTCTCCGAAGGAGGATAGCTTGAGCACCAGGGAGGACAGTCACAACAGGAAATAAAATTCTAAGCTCGATAAATCTGCTCTTTTACTTGCAATATAAAGTCCAACAAGGAGAAAGAACGTAGTCCATGAAACGTCTGGAAGCCAAAGTGTCGCGGAGGTGATTCTTATAACAAACTGGCCATGGTGGTGCGTCTTGCAGGGCTTTTTGAATGAACAATAGTGATTGCAGATCAGCAGCAGCTGCGGGCTCCACCTGGGTACAGCACCTGCTGAGAGAGAAAGAGGGTGTCGCCAAGCAGACCTAACACTTTGGTCAGCTTTTCTTAATACTGTTTTATCTTGACAGTATATATCTATCCTCCTAATTTGTTTCCCCTGTCACAGCTCAAAGGTAGAATTCTGCCCCTTGAAACCATCTGTCTGCAGTCTTCATCCTTTGCCACTGGTGCCGATGGATCGTGGTCTAGAGAGGTTGTCAGGAGTGCTCCAATCAGCTCTGTGAGTGTTGAAGAAATTTCTGGTTTTGCTTTTCATTTTTGATTAATATAATTTTGCTGTAACACCACATATCAGCCACAACTTTGTCTATCCTGTGTTTATTAGTTAGTCCCCACACTGATGAATTAATGATCTGTATTGGCTTAATTCCTAAACTCATCAGAGCTCTCAGTAATTGCAGATGTAATGTTTTGTTTCTTCACCAACTGGCCCGTCTTACTATTAGGTCCCCTTGAAAACCTGGGCCATCTTCTACCCTCCACGCTGTGCTGAGCAGGCTGACGAACTAGTTTCCACCTTCACCAAGGTGGCTGGGCCTATTGGAATACGAGTGGACAAACCCATTTGTGTGAAACTGAGGGATGATCGAACAGAATCTTATGTCAAGAGCATCATCACTAATCTCATCAGTAAGGTGCGACAATAAAATATAGACTGGTAGCTTAAACAGTTGAATACTACATCCTGTATATAATTAATTTGCCTGTTTCCCTGTGTCCTCCAAGCTTTTCAAGCTGTGCATCACACAGGTTACATCTCAGTTAGGGCTGCAACAACTGATCAATAAAATTAGTTGGCAACTAATTTAATTTTCAGCTAGCTGGGTTCTAGTCACGTAGCTGTGTGAGACAGCCAACAGCAGACACAGCTGTGTCAGCAACTGTGTGAGTGCTCGTGTTCTGCACTTCAGTTCAGTAATGCACCTACAAGTTGGTTTGCCAGCCGTCAATCAAAAAATAAAGAATACTGGGTGAGAACGTCAGTGAGGTGTAATAAAACCTTTGGACCTATCAACGCAAAACAAATTTTCCTAGCAAATGCCAACCAACTAAACTGACCACATACAACTAACTGGTTGTGCTTCATCATACAAACAATCATCACTGCAATTGATTCACCAGGAGAATTTTTTTTAAACATGAGTAAGACTTGGTTCTGACCAGAGCTGTCTCAGCGGTCTGAGTTTCATGTTTGGTTTTCTGGGGCAACATGAGCACCTGTTACCTGTTAGTATGTTTTAGCCATTTAGTACAAATTTCAATTGATCTTACCACTAATGATTTAAAATTCTGAGTGGTTTTCCTGGGAGCATCCTAGAAAAACATGTACAGTGCAAAGTATGATTTAATTTGGAAAATACATTTTACAAACCCACCTTTCTTTGGCATTACTATTGAATGCTGTGATGTTTAGCTCACATGAAAGAGATATCAACATTTGCAAGTTTGGTTTTTTTTTTTTGGAAGGTTGGTTTTTTTGGATCATGTCTAAATGTTGATTGTGTCTAATACTACTGAACCACCAGTGAAATGGTATGAACAGTTGTACTACTGCTGTGTAAGTTCTCTACTTCTCATATGTTCGCAGCCTGATATTCAGCTTGTAGTGTGCATATTGGTTGGCAACAGAGAAGACATCTACAGTGCCATCAAGAAGATCTGCTGTGTTCAGCATCCTGTCCCGTCCCAGGTTCACAGTGTTGTCTAAGTGTCTGTACATGGCTGTTTTTAAAATCTGAGGAAAATAGTTTATATTTTGGCAAAATAATTTTCTTCCAATCAAAAGTAAATGAACCAAAACGTTTTGGTCACTTGTCATCAGGCCATCAATATCCGGACAATTTCCCAGCAACATAAGTTGAGGAGTGTTGCTCAAAAGATACTACTGCAGATCAACAGCAAGCTGGGGGGAGAGCTGTGGACTGTCAGTGTACCTCTGGTAAGTATCATGTCTTTCAAGAGCAGGAAGATGATGCCTCATCTCCTGGATGTACAACGTCTGTGGTGCGTACTGTTCATGAAGCATAATACTGCTTGTGAAAACATTCAAAGGAAATACTGATACCACAGTAATACTGGAATAAAATTACACAGAAGTTGCAGTTCATGTGAAAATAAGTGATTATGGAAGAATAATGAACCTCTATCCCACTCAAACAGAAACGCATGATGGTAATTGGAGTTGATGTCCACCATGACAACAGCAAAGCCCATCAGTCAGTCATGGGCTTTGTCGCAAGTATGAACAGGTAAACTAGTCTCCCCCAGTGATGGGCCTTTCTTAGGTTGAATATTCTCTCCATAAATAACATGTAGCACAGTATTCATTTCAGGTGAAATTTCACATTATTGTCCCATGCACAAAGCTTTGAATCACATCTTACATAATGAGATGGGCAGATTTTTAAGGTCATCTGCAGAAAGCCTGTTAGAACATATTTACAATAAACATTCATTCTGCTTTAGTGTTAAATGTTTGTGTTTTCAGAATAACCATGTAACTTTTATTGTGTGCAACATTGTTAAATTCTGTATTAGCTTAATAAAAATTCATGTGCTTTTTTTTTTTTTTTTTCCAGCTCACTGACCCGCTGGTTCTCCAGAGTAACTTTCCAGACACCCACCGAGGAACTGATCAGGGGCTTCAGTTCTTGCTTGGCAGACGCAATTAATAGGTACTACGAGGTAAGGGCTATCAAACTGGAAAATGGACTTTTTTAAACTTGCTTTATTTCTAATATTTTAGATACCACCAATGCTGCCGTACAAAGGCAAGCCGCAGCGTGCAGTATCTGCATTTTTTGGGGGGGGGTCATAGGCTGGATCAGTGGTCATGGTTTTTATACATGAAAATCTCTTCCCAAGAAGAAATTACATTAATGCATTATCACTTATCGACCTTCAGCATATTTGGCTGGACAGTCTAAAAACTTTAGTCATGTTTTTCTCAGTTTGCATAGTTGCACTTGCACTGTTTGCACTTTGCCTTTGTAGGGCAGAATACATATTCCACATCACCACTTTTAGCAGTCTCCGTTCTCATTCAATAGGAAACTTTAGGCAATAGGCTTTGTAATATTTGAGAGATAAACCAGAGATTTGGAGGTATATCTCACCCTAGTCTGTGTTTGAACCAGCTGTAACCAAGCAGTTACATCACTATGGCAGTGTTTAACTGCAGGTGGACACAGCGGTTTCAGAGCAGCTGATTAGACTGCATACACACATACACTACTAGGGCTGTCACTTATTCGAATTTTGAGCATTCATTCGAATGTGGTAAAAGAAAATAACAGCTTAAACCGGATTGACCTGTTTGAATCCAGTAATATACGCTATGTCAGTAAGTGCAACAGACAGTTTGATGTAATTTGCCTTGCTGTCCAACAGAAGCTGTTCTTAAAATTCACTGTCAGTTTGACCAGTTACAATCCTGGTGACCTCTCAGTAAAGTAAGCTAGTAACATTATGTTTGCAAGGACAAAATGCAGGATAGTAGCTAGGGTTGCGTACCGAAACCTGGTGCCAATATAGTCAGTATCTACTGGACTGAATCAGAATGCAGATTTTAGTGCCACTTAAATTCCTGTTGATTGAAATATTTGCCCTCTGGTGCTGTGAAACAGATAATGCAGGCAACAGAAGCATCACTGCACGTCACATGCTAATACTGTTATTACACTTGTGCTGCGTTTAATTTACCTCGGAACTTGGAAGTCTTAACTGGGAATGAATTGGAATGTTTATGTTGTCAACCTTCATTTTATCCAGGATATAAATTTTCCCTGGCATCTGGCCCTGATGCCATGTATATTTGTCAGAGTTGCGGTGTGGCCTCATCAGATGTGACATTGTTCTTATCTCCGTCAGATCTGAGGACCGATCCCTATAAATAATGTTTCATGCTCAGTCATTTATGTACACATAGGTGTGTGCTTATATATATGTATTAATGAGAACGTACTTAATGAAGCTGTTCACCCAGGATTCACTCATTAAACCTCAGTGGTTCATCTGAGTTGGTGTAGTATGCTGTAGAATTTGAGGTTATTCACTTTTCAACACTGCTTGATAACATCATCATTTTTACTATTTGTTGGTGAACTTCTAATCTAGACAGGGGTTTCAAGCCAGGGACTTCTGTGCCAGTCCCAAGCCTGGATAAATAGAGGGTTGCGTCAGGGACAAGGTCAGAGAAGCCAGATTGAGATGGTTTGGACATGTGCAGAGGAGGGATAGTGGTTATTGCAGCGTGTTCTTTATGAAGAATGATCGGAGTCAAATATCAATTTTCAAACATGTATTATTATAACTGAACAGACCATCGAATAAAGCAATTTACAGAGCTCTGGGTTCCATCTCTATCTGAAGCCCTAACCTCAACAGCAAAACCGTTCAATTCGTCTTCAGGACGAGAAGGAACGCCTACCCTCCTGAAACCCAGTTACTTATACAATTTGAAATGTGCAATTGTAGGCTGGTCTGATCCTCTCGTGTTGCTCCATTGGTCCATTGGTCCATCCATCCAGGTCCCTCCTGCTCCAATGAATAAAGACAGTTTCCTACAGAGGGAGGAAGATCTGACACTGCCTGTGTGTGTGTATATGAAATTAGCTATTTTACCAGGCAGCTGTTTCTTCTAGGCCAAAATCTGATTATAACCGTGGTATGAATCTTAGTATCTTATCAAACTCTAACTCCCCTGGCTTCAAAGCTCAGAGGGAATAATGAGCTCTTTTGGAGAAAAGGCAACAAATCTAATGGAATGTGGAATGATAAAACCTTGGAGAGCTACTCGGTGCACCACACTTTTAATCTCATGGGCCTGTAATATCACAGAGTTTTCAGTATGCATACAGTAACTTATTTTCTCATCATGTTAGTGAACATATAATGTGGTGAATAGTAACTTCATAGACATATCTGTGACATATGTGAACTTATGTATTTCTAAAATATAATCGTAACTATTCCTTTTCTAATATGATAGAATAGTTATACACAAACAAAGTGAACAAACAAGTTAACTAATCAACAAACATAGTGTCAATTATCTACTAACTAAATTCTTAATTCAGTCTAATATTAAAACTAATCCTAATGTATTACTTTGTTAACAGTTTTACTCAACATTATATTGGTAGAAGGATGTTGGAGATGGAGCTGCTGGGCAAGAGATCAAGAGGAAGGCCAAAGAGGAGATACAGTATATGGATGTGCTAAAAGAGGACATGAAGTTAACTGGGCTGAGAGTAGAGGATGCTGAGGACAGAGTTAAGTGGAAACAGATGATTCGCTGTGGCGACTCCTAACGGGAACAGCCGAAAGTAGAAGAAGAAGAAGCTTTGTTGGTGAACTTCTGTGCCTTACGTTTGCTACATCTATGTGCTGCTTTTAGTTCAGAGTGTGCATCAATCCAGCTAGCGGTCCTACAATAAGGTTGCCTTTAGTTTTACTGGATAAGCAGCTGAGACGATGTAATATTTGACTCTGTCTATAAGCTGTAAGAAAACTCGGAGGCTGTAAAACGTTAATGTTAACATGTACTGTGTTTTCACTGCTATGTGAAATATTACATATGCTAAATAAGCGCTAATATTGTCAGTATTGCGATCCAAGTGATATTTTTCCGCTTTTTATTATGACATTTAAGCAGTTCAGGTCCAGTCGATGACCTTAAATTGAGTAAAATGTCAGAACAAAAGTCACCAAATAGTAAGAATGTCTTCATTTCATCTAAAACAGACCTTTTTCAGGGATCAAGTAATAGGTTAAGTTACATTTCTTTTGCAAAAATGGAAGTAAACTAAGCCTTGAAAGTTGATGCAATTCCTACAGATGTTTTGTTGATTACTTAAAAGAACAAATTCTGCCTGTACAAAGGCAGTGTTGGATAAGGCTGTCACTACACATTCAGTTGTAGAAAGGCAAGGTAACTTTATTTATATAGCACATGTCATATACAGAGGGCATTCAGAGTGCTTTACATAGGCAAGGAAAAACAGCATTTAAACAATTGGCATTAGGAAGAAAATTGGTTAAGACAAAGTGAAAATAAAACATTGTTACACAAGAAAGAGTGCCACCAAAAGCAACTGGAAAAGTAGAGGTGACCCCAAACTTTTGAATGGTAATGTACATACAACCCGGCACCACCACAGCACCTGCCCAGAGCTTCCTAGCACAGCAGCTGTATTCGTTCAAAGTTTTGCCAACAGTGGAATTTAGCTCCAGCTCTTCATTAAACAATATAGCAGGGACAAATAAACCAAACCTAGTTCTGGATTCAGAGATTAGTGAGTACACAATTGATGAGCCAGTCTAATCATTTGTATGATGTTTTATCTTAAAGGGCACTTGGAATGTTTTTAATAATAATGATAAAAAAGAATAACATAGAAAACCAAAAATTTAGAATTTTTTTTTTATTATTTAATTTTGGGACTATTCTAGGAGGATTGTGAAAATAGTTAAAAACCCTGTAACTCCCAGCTCCTCCCACATTTTCCAGCAGTTCAACTAAGCTTCAACCAGAAAAGCAGTTGAGCACAAATTTTGTCATCATTCTACAATCCCACCACAGTGTCTTCAGAAAGTGCATTCTGTAGTTCAGTCCCCTCTCTTTCTAAACCACAGTTAATGATTACAGATAACTGCTCCTCTCATCTGGTTCAGTATCTTAATTAAAACATTCATGCAATCTGTTATATGTTATTAGGGTAGAGAGAAACGATTATGCCAAGTGTAAATGCACACAGTGCACATTGTGATATGAATAAAAATTACATAACTCTAGTTAAATTTCCCTCACATGATGCAACAGTTGTGAATGTTCTACTGTGCAGGTGAACCATGACTTCCCAGAGAAGATTGTGGTGTATCGCGATGGTGTGTCAGACAGCCAGCTGAAGTTTGTGGAGCAGTACGAGATCCCGCAGCTGATCAAGTGCTTTGAGAATTTCCCCAGATATGAGCCCAAGCTGGTCTTCATTGTGGTTCAAAAGCGCATCAACACCACCCTCTACTCCTGGAATGCAAACAACTTTGGCACTCCTCCACCTGGAACTGTTCTGGATCACACCCTCACTCGCAAAGACTGGTCAGTTAGTTGGTCCAAATGAATGAATTGTCACTGGGTCCTCTTTTAAGTTCTTAGTCTTATTCCAGTTTGAAGGTTTACAATGCAGCTGTGCGTTTGAAGCAGAACTTTAAAACTCTGGAAAAATGTTCACGGCAAATTACTTTGTCGGCAGTTGTTTGGTTAAATTTAAATTGAGTTATTCTGTACTGGATTGGCAGAAAAATGCTGATGGCTGACAAATTGTGCTTTGGTAAACGGTGGGCAAGCATTCGTGTTTTTGCTAAATGACAGTGGCCTTCTACAGCAAAACTCAAAATGTGCAAACACAGTGGTCCCCTGTTAAAGCAATGAGAGAGCTACTATTCTTAACAGAGTACCACAAAGTACACCTGACTACAGTGGTCTGGCCGTTACTCTGGTACAATTTGTGTGCACTCTGAATTTGACCCAGGAAGAGAATTCATGTAATCATTTTATGAAATGGTTGTCATTCTTACATGAAAAAGATGGTGAGAATAGGGGTGCTGTTTTAATAATTTTATTTCCTGTGTGTACATCAAAAAGGCTGCAGCACCACCTCCTGGTAGCACCAGGAAATGTGCACTTAAATGAGGAAACCATCAAAGAGACTCAGTGTGTTGGCTGGTAGCTCTTGAAAGTTTGTATCCTTGAAGTTTTTAATCTTGATGGGGTTTTTTTTTTTCCCCATTCAGGGTGGACTTCTATCTGATGGCACATGACATTCGCCAGGGCTGTGGAGTTCCCACACACTACACCACACTCTACAACACAGCAAACCTCACCCCAGACCATTTGCAAAGGTACCGATAATTCATGATTTTCATTCTGATTGCTGGTACATTACACATGAATAAGATGTTGTTTGTTTGAGTAATGGCTGTTCAACTCTTTTCACCCAGTTGGTAAATATTGTTCACTAGAACAACACTTTTGAAAGTAGGATATTTATTGAAAATAAATGAAGAAAG